GGCGAGTCGATTCAAGTCAAAGTCGTGTGTGGTGCAGTGAGTGCGTGAATTGCGGCGTTCACGAGTAATCGAGTCACAAAGGGTTCACCTAAGGCCGTATGATCCTGTAGGAACTTATTTTCGGGTCCTCTACATGCTGGTCCTTAGCCCTTGCAATTAGAAGTTGAGTGCTTGGAACCACTCATGCGAGTTCTTCTCAAAAATGAGTAAAGAAGCGGTTTGAAGTTCTACGGGAGGTGGGCTCCATTACTAGTCCGCTGGGATGGTCAACAAGAACTTCTAAGGCTAGATTTTAGGTTGTAGGAGTAGGAAGTTATGACCTCACTAAAAATGAGGTCAACAGTTATCTTCACCAATTTTGTTTTATGGATATAAACGTTTTCAAAACTTGAATATGTCAAAACCAATTTCTTTATGGGCTTAACTTGTGAGAAGTGGCCTTCTCAACCTATTTCTCGTAAATGAATTAATTATAAACGTTTTGGTAATTTGCTATAAAAATTTGAATAATTGGTGTTGGCTTCATCTAATTCAATTTTATGTAAATTTTCATCCAAGCACTAATCATCTTTTAGGTTTCTGACCACTTATTAGAACATTGAATCCCAGTCATCAACAACTGGTTTGGGAATATTGGTTCTGGTAAAATATCAATTTTTTAAATTTCCTAATACTAATTTGCGGAGTCAAACTGCTGTATATATTCATTTCTCCTCATTCTTTTAGATATATCAGGTCTAACAATTTTGTACATGACATGGTGAAATCATGACTTGATTGTCAGTTTATATCTTTCTCCCACTCAATTTCCATGCCACATCAATCATTCTTTTGGCCCTCAAGTGGGTCTGGAGTTGGAGTCTTATCTTGGATTTTGGGTTCGATTATCTTCTGGTGGTGCTATTTACAACTTATACTTTAGATATCTTACATCCCTTATTATTGCATGTTGCAATATTTTATTACCACTTTTTTGTATCTATAGGAGAGCTTCGGTTGGATTTTCTTCCAACACAATTAGGCTTTTGGTTGCAGTAGTGACTGATTCTTTTGCTAATTTTTTGTTTATGATTGATATATAATAAACTATATTGAGCATTCTAATTATAAATAAAGAGATTCAGGCATGTACAAAATTGAGATTCAGGCAGTAATGACTCCCAAGTATGGCAGTAATATTTATAAATAGCTTTTGAAACATTTAAGTTTCTGTTATCAACGATGTGAATGGTATATTTGCTATACTTATATCTGAAAAGATATGTTTGTTGTATACTTCAGTGTGCACATGTAATGGCTATGGCAGTTCAGAAAATATTCCCAAATTCCAAGGTTACAATTGGTCCTTGGATAGACAATGGATTCTATTATGACTTTGACATGGAGCCTTTAACTGATAGGGATTTGAAGAGAATAAAAATGGAAATGGTAAGAATAGTGTGAATCATGGTTTGAAGGCCACTTAATTTTTTAATTGGGATTTGCTTATCATTTCAGGGCACGGAATTTATTTCTTGCATCATCTGTAGGATCGGATCATTAAGCGCAATCTACCTTTACTGAAAGAAGATGTTTCCAGAGAAGAAGCTAAAAACAGAATATCAGCAATCAATGAGCCTTACAAACTGGAGATCCTGGAAAGCATCAAGCAAGATTCTATTACTATTTATCATATAGGTTTGATAAGCTATTTTATTTATAATCAAAAGTGTCAAAATAGCTCAAAGATTCTTTGCAGGGGGGGCATTTTAGTCCCATAGTCTCTCGAAGTGTCAATTTAGTCCTTAGATTTTTTTAATATGGGCTGAAATAATTCCTACGGAGG